CTTACTAAAAATATCTCTGATACCATCCTTAAAAATTATTAGAATTTATGTTAAATAAAGATATCTCATGGATATACAATATTGATTTGCAAAGTTATAATAATCTATATATACATATATATATACATATATATATGTATATACATACATACACACACAAGGTATCTGGAATTTAAATGTCAAACTTCGGGAGCGTGTAGGGGATTGATAAATTAAGAAAAAAAATCCTGTAGAGATATGGTCGTTTTTACTTCGTTTTGGAGAAAATTGCAAAAAAGACAAAACGTAGTTGCTTCGTTCTTGCACTGCCTCTAAAGTATTATCGTCGCTAAAATCATACGAAAACAATAATAATAATTCCGTTTTCAGGTAAAAACTTTTTTATTTGTTTTTGTCTGGGACATTTTTTTACCCGACAGATAAATGCAGCCAGATTTTTTGCAGATTTTTTGAAGACCGACTTCTTTGATTATTTAGAAGACACCCACCTGCAGCAACGGATTGAAATGTGGTTTCAACTCGATGGGTGTCCAGCTCATTATAGCAGAATTATTCGAGCTTGGCTAGATAGACATTTTCCACATAGATTGTACTGGATGAAGGAAGGAAAGGATGGAGGAATAGTACTTTGACCACTCCGCTCATCTGAGCGGACACTACTGGACTTCTTTATGTGGGGGATCCTGAAGCAGGAAGTTTATTCGTCGTTAATCAATTCAAGAGAACAATTAAGAAATTAAATCGAGGCTGTAGTGCACCAAATATCGCCAGATCAGTGTTTAGCTGCAACACGAGCTGTCTGTACTAGATGCATGCATTGTTGCAAGAGGCCAATATTTTGAACAATATCTACATTAAGCGAGTGAATAAATACAGTGAATAAGTAATGAAAAAATTCAAAAATGAATCTTACGTTTTGTCTTTTTTTGTGAGTTTCTTAAAAACGAAGCAAAAACGAGTATATCTCTACAAGATTTTTTTCTTAATTTATCGATTCCCTACATGCTCCCGAAGTTTTGATATTTAAATTCCAGACACCTGATATACACTGAAAAAAAATTTTTTCAGTGTATAAATTAGAGTAGTAAAATACATATGTATATAAATTAGATTAGTAAAATAATATTATTTCAAAAGTCAGATGATCACTCAAGTGGCGTGAATGATCCTGTAGATATAAATAAACTATCTGGCAATATAGCAAAAGCGACATGTGCAGCATTAGTTAAATTGCTGGATCTTTTGGCAACAGCAGGTTTAACAAAGCTCGGTGTGCGGACAACGATTCATCCAGATAACGTAAATATGACTCTAAGATTCATATAATTCATTTTATCCCATTTAATTAAGATTATATTTAAATATATATACATATATATATATATATATATATATACAGGTGGGATATGAAGCTGGAAGTGAAGGTACAAAATTACCGCCAATATATATGAAAAGTTTAGACAATGAATTGATTCAAGTTTTACATAAAGCTGTGCAAAGCAGTCAGGATGCATATACCGTGCTTGAATTGATATTTTATGTGCTTGAGGATTAAAAGGAATATACAGTATTTCAATTGCTGATGACATTGAAAAATTTTCATTGAACTACGAAGATGTGCAATTGTGTCGAACATCATGATGCAGTGATTATATAATCTCTATGTTATTTTTTATTGTATATTTTGTTTTATATTATTTCCAATTTGACTATTAAAACTGTGAATGAAATATTTTTAATTTTATTACAAAATATTTAACATGTATAAAACATATTATAAATATGAATTAATAATCGAAAAGAAACAATAGTGATATATAATGATGGTAACTTTATTGATTCAAAAAAAATTTTAGCTTACATTTTTTGCTTCTAAGATAATATTATATATAATAAATGATAGTGTAATGCAAATATATATATATATCATGAGTATGACAAAAATATCTTCTTTATATGTAGATGGAAAAGTTACGGTAATATTGACAATTAATAAGTGGATATAATTAATATTATATTCGTATTATATTAATTAATATTGCATTGTGTGTGTGTGTGTGTGTGTGTGTGTGTGTGTGTGTGTGTGCATGTGCATGTGCAGGTGCGTGCGTGCGTGGATACGTGCGTCCATACATGTGCGAGTGCGTATTTGAAGTTTTATTAGTCGCAGAAATATATTTCTTGTTTAAATCTCTTGAGTAGTCACTGTGGCCGTGTTGAATCGTGACGTAAGCTAGAAAAAATACATTAATTTTTGTTACATGAGTAAAGACAATTTGGATAAACAATACGAATCTTATTAGATCATACATGTGAGAACATAATCAATAAGAAATAGGAATTAAGCTCATAACAATTGAACCGGATAGAACAATAGAATGAACAATAGAATGAACAATAAAATTGCTTTAAAACACTTGTATAAATGGATCAAAACTGTACTTTCTTTCTGACAGTCATAAATAATAAAAAGTACGTGAAAATGGGGTGCGTATTGATTAAATGCATTTCACGTCCCTTTTATCACTATTTACTGATTATTAGGGAAAACAAGAATAGTTTCGATCCATTTTTACAAGTATTTTAAAGTGATTTCATTATTTCATTGTACAAATGATCTTTATTTACAAACAATATGTAACAAAAGTTAATGTCTCATTTTTCTCTCACGATTCATATCCGCAGCAATCCAGGAATTTTAATTTAGAACGAGTTTTAAATTTATATATAAAAAAAACTTAATTTTTTTACAATTTTCGCAATTTTTCTTCATTACTAAACAGTATACCAATGATAACAGAATATCTAAAATTAATGCATAAAATAACTTTAAAGTAGTTTTTTTTTATAAAGTGTCGCAAATTTGAGATATCTTAGAATTCACTTAAAATCGCAAATATCTGTATAATTTGGATAAAATATTAAAACGTATATATTTGGATAAAATATCAAAACTACGTGTATATCTTAATGAAATAGTATGAAGTATAATATATAATGGTAAATCATATAAGAGCTACATCTTCACAAAACGAAAACAAGGTAACGCGTAATTTCATCAAGCATGAGCCAAAATCTTCAGTGAGATACATGGAAATGGAATTGAACATCCCCAAATCAACGATTTATCGCATTTTGACCGAACATTTGGGCCTACAAAAAGTCTGTGCACGATTTGTTCCACACAAGTTGACTGACGACCAAAAAATGCATCGAATTCAACATTCAAAGGACATTATTAAGGAAGCAAAAAAGGACCAAAACTTCCTTTATAGCATTGTTACTGGTGACGAGACGTGGTGTTTTCAATACGATCCAGAAACCAAGCGTCAAAGCGCGGAATGGAAGGCGCGAAACGACCCAAAACCCAAAAAATCGCGTTTAGAGAAGTCAAAAGTGAAGACAATGCTCATTTGTTTTTATGATTCCAAGGGTATTGTGCACAAAGAATTCGTTCCAGCAGGCCAAACAATTAATGCTGTATTCTATGTAAGCGTTTTGAAGCGTTTGGTGCACCGCATTCGTCGTATTCGGCCAGAATATCGCGAAGGAGGAAGTTGGCGCTTGTTACACGATAATGCGCCATCTCACCGTTCGACACTTGTCACTGATTTTTTGACTAAAAATCACATTTTAACAATCAACCATTCCCCGTATTCGCCTGATATGGCACCTTGTGACTTCTACCTATTCGGCAAAATGCATTTGTCCATGAAAGGAAAGCGGTATGTGGACGTAGAAGACATCCAAAGGGCTTGTACCACTATTCTGAAGGACGTGCCTTTGAACGACATAAAACACTCATTTGAAATGCTTTTAGATCGTGCCAAACGTTGTATTGAGTCCGACGGGGACTACTTTGAATAAACAATTTGAATTTGAAAAAAAAAGTAAATCGTTGTTGTTTTATTTCAAAAGTTCGGAAAATTTTGGGACGCACCTTGTATATCTTTCCAGAATGGTTAATCTATTACTTTTTTGTATCATTACAATCGTAATTTTATAAACTATTATAATCTTGTTTTTTAGAAAAGTCTATGGTAATATTTGTGTGTAGTTAGTTCAAGAAGTGCCTCCGATCCTTATCTGTCACTAATTTATACGTTAAAAGTTACAGTTTGAACACTTTTTTCTCTTATTTTATCATAAACCTACTCTAGAATTTTGCATACGTCAAATTCGGTACTTCAAGTTCATTATATAAAGAAATTAGACATTTCTATGATAACTCGAATTACTAAAGAATCACCTTAAGATATTTTTCTTTTACATAAAACTTTAAGATATTTTATAAAGAACTCTGAAAATATCTTAAAGTTAAGTTTTATGCGTCGATTTTACTCGCTTATTCGGCAATCTTTAGAAATTAATATCTTGTTAATTGTTACGAAAATTGCAAAATAATACAGGACTTTTTGACTCAGCTTAGTCTAACTCAGCTCTAATCTACCTACTCATAAGTAGTGTGTCAAAGAGTTTAGGACATCCTGTATATTTTACAAAATTCATAATAAATAGACATTATTCGCTATTGTAATCAGACTGCTATATCAATACGTAGAATATTTATTGCCAAAGACTTGTGCAGGTATTTTTTATAATCTTTGTTGATGAATATGAATAAATATTTACACTTTTTCGATTGTTTTACGAAGTATAGTCATTTCATATGTAGAAATTTATATTAACCTGCAATATTATCATAAAAATTCTTTATAAACGTGAGATTTTCTGGTATGTGATTAATAATTATCAATAATTAGATTGCAGAAGAATTGTTTAGCAGAAGTACACGCAGAAATACACACAATACAATGTAAATGTGTATTTGTAAATATTTTTTTTCATTGATGTATTTCTTTACTAACCATGTTTTATATAGCAAGTTTTTTTAGTATAAGAATACTTTGTAACTATAATTATTAGTACTATAATTATTATTGTATTTATTCTTATATAACCTGTTAGCTATATACATGATATCTCGAAATTCGAAGATAATATTATATCGGCAAGGAAACTTTCGTAAAAAATTAAATAATAAAAGCAATTTGCAAGCCATTTTTTTCCATAAAGTAGTTTCTTCTTACATATAAACGTTTAAAATTTAATTAATCATAAGCATCGATTATACAGTCATTTGTCCGTGTGATATACGTGCAATCATATTAGATCGGGCCTGTCTGATTTGAGCTCCAGAATCAAAACGCAAAACCATTGACGTAAAAAAATTTTATGTGAGTAAGATTTTAAGAACTAGAAACTGTTGATAAGCGTCACTTAGATGCATATCAACACTTTACAGTCTCCAAAATCTTATCCACATTGAATTTTTTTACGTCGATGACTTTGCGTTTTGGTTCCGGAGTTTAAATTGGACAGGCCTGTATTAGATACAAAATATTGCCGCTGAATGCATACTATCACACGGACAGATAATTTTTTAATTACCGTTTATGATTAGTCAAAATTTTAAACGTTTATTACTTAAGGATGTTTTATACATATTTTCAAAATGATAACAAAATTATGAATTTTGAAAATTATGAAAAAATTACAGATTATTTTAAATCACTTAAAAAAATTTACGGTTTACTATCTGGATCATAAATTATTTTAATGAATATTTTTTAAATCTGTGCTCTAATAAAATGTGTGTGTGTGTGTGTGTGTGTGTGTGTGT